ACAGTTATCATATACCCTTATTAGGGGTTCAGACAGGAAAATCTGCTAAGGAAATTTTCAGCAGCGTGGCACCGTTTCCTTAAGTGTGACTGGTTCTATTGAGATCGACGCTCATCGGTCAGAAAATCCATTTCTCCCGTTCACAGTCCACATGTATTAACCTCGTTTACGACAGTGGTTACAGATCGATCCCAAATCACTTCGATTAAGGAAATTTCCTTAGCGCTTCCTAAGGCATTGCTTGCGCTTTAAGCCGGCATTTTCACTTTTTTGTGTTTCAGTAGCCAAGCCCTTCAAGCCCAAGAGGGTGCCACTAAAATGTTACATACTTCAGTCATTTTTGTATACCCCATGTCATTTTACGAACAAAATATATACGAACGCCTAATCAGAAGTACCTATTTTAGGAAGTGACAGCTGTATCTTTTGGAAAATGTATATTTTCAATTAGAAAAAATTCGTTTTCAGTGCTGATGCACCAAGTGGCCCGTGTTCTACTTGCTTCAAGTTCTAAGGTTATGTATCACATATGGCGTACGATATATTTAACCTGTTGCCAATGCATGGAATTGTTCGATATCGTCAATGTTAACATCACCAGCTTTTAACCGCCAAGAGGTCCCTTTTAGTACCAAATAGACGCATCGTGAAACCGAAAACAGCCAATGAGAGCGGACCGTACTTTTCTTCATATACATGACTATACACCTGCTAGCTTCTATACTGATTCTATAAAACCCAACATAAAAAAAATGTTAATGAACGATTTGGAGCTTGACTGCTGCTTATCGTTCGGAGCTATACAGGATTTGCCACGCACTTACATACGCAGGGCAGGCGAAGCCATCTATGCCTCTGATGCGAAAATAGGCGCGACCCCATAGCAATATTCATAGGCACTTTTGGATCGGGTAAGTGTAGTAAACAACTGCGACTCGAATGTGGCTGGGTAGGAGGGGTTCCTTGGATGTCCGACCACGACCGGTCGGGCACTCATCAACCCAACCACCGATTAACTAAACCCGGTCAACTGTGTTGGGCCTCGAAAATTATTTTTCGAATATTTCCCAATTGTCTGACAGTTTTCCGTGTCGGCAATGGGAACAAACAGCAATACTACCAGCTCCATTATGCCTAGTATAGTTATAGTCAAAAGGCCTCTTCATCCCCCCGCTTCCGGAAAGATGGACGACGAGCCGTTTGAGCAGTCGACACACACAGAGTATTCGTTATCCAAGAGATTGGAGAGAGTAAATAGAAATAATGTTATGCACACACAATCGACCTAACCCATCTGCCCGCCTTCTTATGCTTGGTGCAATAAATAGCACTCCCAGCAGTACCTAGAGTACTAAGTATTATGACGAGTTATAAACTAGCCGTTCTCGACTAGCATGGATGTTCAGCATAGACACAGTTCGGCGAGGGCCGTCGGAGCGCACAAGCTCGAATGGTCCTTGTTTAGAACTAGAATGCTGGGGTCGGGCCGGTATCGGTGGTGATAACAGCCAGCCATACACTTACAGATGCTGGATATTTGAATGTCGCACCATTCTTAGGCGATGATGGAGAACCTCACCAATCGAATCGGTTGCATACGCTCTATTTATGACTGTTCGAACACCACGGCACATATTTGGTGTTATTTAAATGGACGGAAACGTACCCTCTTTCTCTTTGCTTCTCAAAAAAAAACAACATAAATACAATATGAATGTATGAGCAGCAATACTTCGTCCTGCTGAACCTGAAAAGCAGAACAGTTAAGCAAAAAAAAAAAGTATACTCAGCTGGTTCATATTTGCAATCCATATTTATACATATTGTAGGCATTGATGGTACAAATATCTTGAAAATCCGAGCTAGCTGTTCCCGGAACATTTATTCTAGGCGTGGGTGGGAGTATGTTTTGGAAATTTCCGTTCGATATGCTGGGTCGCGCTTTTAGTTACATTCAAAATTAGTCTTTCCGGGCTTTTGCCCGCCATACGAGAAGGCTCGCGTCCGTGATAGCTTAATGGATGCAAGGCGTGTTCGCCTACTAATGTTGTGGACACGTGGTGGTCTGAGTTCGACTCCGAGCATAGACAGATGTTGTCTGATGGAATACCCAACGCCAACACCGGACCTAAAGGTCGAAACATAGAAAGCCCCATAGTTCGGTGTGTCAATATGTGGAAATAAAGCCTATGGGGCTAATCCACAGACGACCGTAAATTGAGCTTGCTCCCAAATTCGATCGAGGACGTAAAATCCGTTTGTTTCTATTGTGGCAATCCTATTTGAGTTGTAGCCTCTAACTAGCAATAGTTTAATGAATACCGAAGACCAAATCATATCGGTTATTGCTCCGAAAGGAACTAAAGTCGATCGTCTTTCCCCTGACAAAGACGACGCTCTCATAGCTGACTCATCTACATAACAATAAATATTTTAGGGACTGCCGCAACTTAAAAATTATTCCCACAGTCTGACGTATCTCTGTCTTCATTGTTGGAAGGAAGTATATACAGCCAGGCGTATGCTATGCTAAGCTAACGAAGTTATCTAAAAATAGTTATTAATATTGTTTTTGTAAGCGCTTAAACCGTAATTTCCAATTTCTAGGACTACTAGACTACAAGGATAAATCATTACTAGCAGTAAAATATGGCCTATATTTTTCTACTGTATCGTTGTTACAGGGAAAATCTTTTCTTCGAGCATTACGTATTGAAGTACGATCCAACATTTTAGACGTATTCAAAGTTCACTGACGTGATCTCGTATTCAAACACGCGCCCGTGAACACCTGCCTGACTAGCACCTCGTTGTACATGCTAATTAATCCTGTTTCAGGTTCTTTATACTATTAACGCTGGGCCGCAATGGCTTCCGTTGAAATGGTGATAAAATTAGCAAAAAATCTTATATGTGTACATATTTATGTACACGATCGAGTGTAGCAGCAGTAGTCCTCGGCAAACTACGCTATAGCAATAACAAGAACACGATACTTACGGATCCTTATGATACCGATGACTGACCACGAGTAAACGGCCAGCACGGGACCACCGTCATCGGCCACTAGAGGCTCTTTTCAATTAATTCGCACCCGTATTACGCAACCTATGACTAATACGACAGCTGCAGCAAAAAGGTCGGCGATTCTGTCTCTTAGATCAACAGATGTTACATACTAGGCGAACAGTTACGATGGCTATTACCAGCTAGTAACAGCGGAAGCGCCACTTCTTCTCGATGGCGGCACTCGCAATGACATGACAGCCCCGGTTGTCGTTTGTCGACGACGGCAAACGCCGGGCCGAACGTCGTCGAGACAACGTTCATGTCGCGGCAGTCGCGCACCCATCACCCACGACAACCGCCGACTGGCAAAGCAACCGGTTGGAACAGCACAACTGTCCTAATATATTTATGATAGCAGAGTGGGTACCAGCGAAAGCGATGGCGGTAACAGCAACGGGCGCGGAACAACGAAGAAGATAGGCCCAAGGCTACGCCGCAGCAGCTAAAGATCGCTGGGGAAGCCGCAACTGCTGCTTTGTTTAATGACCGATTACACACGGACAGGGAGACGCTAGCGAGCAAGCATCGTCGCGAGGTCATTTGAGCGATACGGGTTCTCCTACTACGGCGACGGCTATGATGACGCACGCAGACCAGAGAAACCAAAAGCAAGACAGGTCATCATCAGGTGGGTGAACATCAGTTTGCAACGGTGAATGAGTGTGCCTGGATTGTTCCCCTCAGTTACCAAATTTCGGCTTCTCCCCTCATAACAAAAATCATAAATACACAACACACTCAACGAGTATTAATAATAACCGTTCAACTGAGCGAAGGGATAGCGACAAAAGTCATCAGACAAACTCCAATAGCTTGTAATCGTTATATCCAATACTATATGTATAGTAGTTTCTTAGTCGTGCGTTCAGGCTCCATTGTCGTTTGACGAAAGGAGCAAACCAAGTAATTGTCGCATGTATGTAGCATGCAATCCTTTCATTTACTAGCCAGGCACAGTAAAGACGTCAACTGTCATTTTACCGTACTTTCTATAGAGTTCCTCATCCCTGCTGTCAGTAGGATTCATCACGCTGTAATCAAGATAAATATGCATCCGTATAGTCATTATATTGTGTCACCAAATAGGTAAACTATTGCTCGTTGGATTCCGCATAATGTTTTGAGGCATCCTCGATCATCAGGCTCTAGTCCTGCAATCACTAGGGACAGCTTGTTATTGGCGGTAGCTTACTCAGACGCCGGGCTTCGAATCGCAATATGCTTCCAAAGATATGACTTTGTTCGCACGTACACGTACGTGCGTATGTGCGTGCGTGTGTGTGTGTATGTCTATATGTACTGTAATTTTCGTAATCAGCTAGGTTCGATGATCTTCAGCGTCGTTTCTCTACCTGGTGCAGTTCTCTCGTGCGGTGTACGTGGACGTCCAACCGCAACCATACGCTTGCTGTTATTCGCTTGCCTGCTCCTTTCTGTCTTTTTTTTTCATACTGCTGTTCCTCTTTCGCTGCGGTTGAACGCATTCATTATCTGCTTCGACGGCGGCGAACAGGACGGCGACACCAACAACAACGACGCGGTCCTTGTTGTCGTCGTGGCCATTCCCGGCAACGGCCAGTAGTGCACCACGGCGGCGGCATTGGCAGTAGCATCACGCGGCCGCAACTGGCCGGGTCTCATCTTTTCTGTTCTGTGAAATTCATTCTTCGTAGATGTCGCCGTGGCATAGAGCACCCGGCTGACAGGCGGTCCTTCGGGGAGGCCATGGCTCCGCCTACCAGCGAGCGGGGCTCGTAGCGCACCTTTCTCTTAGCCAATGGCGTCAAAGTGACGGACCGTCTGCAGGCGGAGCCTAGTGGTCGGCTGGGCTTTGGCGATTATTGCCTGCTGTCATGATCCCGTCCCGTGTTGCTGGCTGGCGGGTTGCACAGGCCGAAGATCACACCAGTGGTGTACCGACTCGCGGTGATGCCGTATCGCTCCAAGCCGTACCTAGCCGGCTCGTCGCAGGCCTGTTCTAGCTGTAACCGCTACAGCGGCAGTAGTCTCAACAACCGAGTCAACATTATCAACCGCACAACAATACCTGTTGCTGCTGCTGTTGCTGCTGCTGCTGCTGCTGCTGCTGCTGCTATGTGATCGCGTTGGCCTGGCTACCGGCGACCACCTGCTAGTGGACTAGCGTACTATCTGTACCAGTAAAGTACATCAGTTCAACTAATACAAATACCAAGTAGGATCTGTGAAGGCGCCCGTGTTGTTTGCTGTTGTGTCGCTCTCGAGAGAGAAAAAAGTATGTAATAGAAGTGCTCTCTTTGTCTGTCCCTTTTTCTCTCTCGCTTTGTTACCAAAAAAAGAGGCCTAGAAGGACGGAACAAACTGGCCTACCGGCACTAGTAGTGCCAGACTTAACAGGTCGATCGGTCAGCGAAGGCTTGACGGCATAGCCCGTAGTGCTTTTTCGAGAATGATTTGGTGATTGCATTTGATCTGTTCGTTGATTCAGTAAATGGACGTTTGGTCGATAGGTTGACTGACTGACAAACGATACTTCGAGTTGTGGTGCGGGGTGCGATCTCAGTGAGTGATCTCAGTGCGTGGGACTATAGCCTAACTACAATAAACTGTTTGTTCTATCAAAATTGTGCTAAAACAACAAATACTGCAGTTACTATCACGCTACAAGGCAGCACTGATTGGCAATAGATTCCTTGTCGCTGTTTCTAACGTACGTGCAAAAGATAATCACACTCCCTATTGTTAAAGAATATCTCTAGCAAAGATGGAAACCTGTGTACTCATCCCTCAGGAGTTGATCCTGGGAGCATCATCACACAACGAAACAGTTCTTGCCGTACGGACGAGTCAGCGCCTCGAACGCGCCATGAGGCTTCTACCATTCCAAGGAACAGTTCGAACTGACAAGATTGAAGTCAGCGACAAGATCGACGATGAAGATGTAAGTGCAAGAGTATTTGAATTGAAGATCGTCAATAGATTTGTAGATAACGTTTCGAGATTGAGCTAGGTAACGTTAGGACAGATTATAGAGGCAGAATAAGGGCTACGGACGATAATTTTATCCGGCTTGGGAATGAACGTCTGCGCAAGCGAGCTACGATAAAGACCCTGAGCAGCCGGCCACATGTTGATTAGAGTTTGCCTACGATTTTGTTTGTTTTCTAAGTATAGCACGCGTTCGCTTAGGCGACACGGAAAAAGTTTTCTGAATCACCTGTCGTTTGCTATCAATAAAAATGGTATTATTAGGGCATCGGTTACGTAATTTTCCTAACGAATATTACAAATGCACCAAGTTACGCCCATCAAGCACTCAATCAGGTAACTGGACATTGACACTGTGCAATCTCAAATATGAAGAAGTCCTAGATCATTCGTGTGCTTGAACGCCATCAAACGGCACAAAAGGTAAAACCGCCTATATTAGTATAATAAATAAAACAGCTGCAGCTGGCGTCTGTTGACTCTATCACAAGCGAAAGTACAAATACACGTATCATCGGTTCCGCAGCTGGTTCTTACGAAGTCTATAAATGAGACACTTATTTCGAGCTGGTATATTCATGAAGCTTGGCAAAGCGACGTCCAATATCTCCTGATTGCTCCTCATCCATCACATTCGGAATCATTGAAGCCATTATTATATAGAATATAATCATTATTCGATGACTTCAAGCACGACGATGTTCTGAAATTGTGGTTTTTATGCAGCGTTATCTCGAAATAGCCAAACGTTGCTCATACCGTCGTATGCTTTATTTAATAACTCTTTTTTTGCCATCCAAAGAGATGTTGCGCCTGGACTCGTTTCGATACTCCCTAATCAATAATCCTAATGATGATCCGTGTGCCACCCAACGGTCTTGACAAAACCATTAAGGACCTGGACGTCACTACCTTCATCAGTTCGCCTCCTTCGAGCTATGAGCTGTATGATTTCATCGTCGACTACATAGCGATCGCATGATCTACGTTGCGTTCGCACCTCGGAATCGCCGTGGACGACCACACCTCGGACGACGTTAGTTGTCGACGCAGTGCCCAGCTATAATCGACAAACCGAGTCGGACTAGCGGCACTGGTCGACCGATTGTATTTATTGTACAAATCTCAACTGCGAAAACAGTGCCTTAACGATGGCCTGCACGAAACCGTCTGTCCCAGTTAAAGCTTGAAAAAAGAAACGAAAAGGCGAAATGCATCGTCGCGAACAGGATCGTTCTTGATGTCTTCATTGGACATGTGATAAGCTGGCATCCACGCACTTAGTTATTTTTTTGATTCATTAATGTTAATGTAAGACGCGGTTGTTGTTCTGGTTACTGTTGACCATTATCTCAATAATTTAATCACGATACATCACTAATGTGTCGTGCACAATCGCGTACCTGCAATGACGATGATCACAAAGATGGATGCGGTAGGCTTTTTCTGCCTTTCTCAACGAACTTCACAACATCGTCAGTGCCAGATGAAAGCCCAGTACGTAGCATAATCACAGACTCAGTTAGAAAACATCTTCACTATCTTCAGTCAGCCGAAATCGTCGGCGCTTATTGATTTCCACTTCGTCTGAACCATTGAGTTAGCTTCAAATCGTTCGCTCGTCGTGCGATGCCGATTCACCAAGAACGACAATCCAAGCGACGTTTATAGGTGATACTATTGTAGAAAAAAAAAAACAGGCACCTTTGATTTGTCTGAATTTGATATAGGCACAGTCACTCCGGTTGTTAATGATCTTCGAACTTTTATTGGTTACGGCTTTCCCGTCCGGTCGATTCGATTGTAAGAATATTACTGCCCTTTTCGATGACCCAACCCACTATTTGTAACAACGCCAAAGGGACAGACGCATACCCTGCAGCTACTTGACCCTACACGCGTCCTGACGCGTAAAGCTTTTGCTAATGTCTATCTTAGTCGGTTAGAAAATCGTTAAACTATGCTTCTACTATCTGTGGTCAACTTCGAATTCGATTAAAACCTTACTTCATATCTTGCCGCTTTTCGACTCCTTTACTTTGTGACTGACGTATCTTTTCCCCCCGTGAAGTCGATGGTTGTCGAGGGACCGATATCGGAACCGCGCAAGGGCCTCACTTGCTTCGCAAGTGCTTCTTTTATTCGATTAATACTTTACCTGCTAGTTTGTGTTTATAGATTATTGTCATACTATACTTTTAACATCGGCTGTCAGTCGTTCATTCCGATGTGCTTAGGCAGAAGGCTTCGTTCGCTGGAAGGCCACCTTGTTGCCTATATATGCCACGCCGTGTCATGTCTGACATGACCCGTGTGCGTTGAACGTATGTATAGCTACGATGCACGATCGATGACTTTTTAATTGATTTCACGGCACAGTACACGAGGCACACACACGTGTGAAGCGCTCGCTCACTCTTCACTCCGTCGACCTTCTTTGTCATGATAATGATCATCATCACGGTCGTCGTCTCAATCGTTGTTTTTCTAGCCGATAAATGCAGAGATGGCCATTATAGGAAAACAGACAGTGGAGAGTAATAGTAATGGAGGGGTTGGGATGCGGTTGAAATCTAATACAACATAACAGCACGAACAACAACGATGACGACGACGAGAGAGCTCACGATGCCGCTAGTATCGCCACGATCACTACCCTGTGGGCGCCCTCTTGCCCTCCTCTGCGCGGGTCACTTCGTCGCTTTTTATTGTGATCGTCGCCGTTGTTGATGATGTGCACCATAAACCGAACAATGATTTGACCTTCGAGTCTACACGCTGTTACTGCCTTTGCTATTGGCGCCGCTAACCAACCAACGGCTGTTCCATTGTGGCTCCGATATAGAACAGCAGCAGCCATAGCGATCGCTAGCGCCACCTTTGCTATTGCCGAGAGTTTGGCGCCGCTAGCAAAACGAAAGTCTGACTACTGCTATACGTACACGTGTATGCATGTATTATTGATAGCGAACAGTAGCAGAACTTCTTGGCGCGAAAATTATAGCAGAATGTAACCATTTATCGTTGAATGCTGTTGTTGTCTACGTATCGGGTAAGTATTTCTATAGGCGAACTGTGGTGTCTTTGCATTACGTAGATTGCCGTGTTCTTCTGTGTCTTTCTTTCCGTTCGATTTTTGTTGGCTCCTTTTCACTCTGCGCTGTTTCAGTTTCTTCACGAACTATCTCGAAATTTCTTCGGTGGCAGCAGCGACAGAAGCTACAACGACAGAAAAAGTAAACGTACCAATCTCAACCTGGATACGAACGAATGGATGGATGGATGGATGGATGGCTAAATAGCATTGAGAGAGTATAACATTGCTGGTTCAGTGGATCGGGGCATAGTGATGGTGGCGTGAAGCTCCCCGGTTTCGTCCTTTGCGTATCGCTCGATAAAGGTTGAACGCCGTTTACTCGATAAGCGAGGCTCTACGCGTATGCCTGCTCAGTGCTATATCGTAAAGTATAGAGCAGAGCCGATCACATGCGCAAATGCGGGTTTCGTGATCCTCTCGAAAAGAGTTGTTGTGATGACACCAACGTTGGCCTTATCTAGCGTCACCAAAGACTTTACGAGGCACAGTTCGAAAACTACTAGGCTTACGTGCTTATTTGGGATAGCAGGTACACTACGTTTCTTGTATATACGACATCTCGAGCAGTTAGTCGGGCACGAGAATCGACGATATTCGCGGAAAACTGGACGAATGGGCGAACAAAATAGGCAACCGGTCGGCAAACCGATCGCCGGCCCAAACGGTAGTGCCGCAACAGCCGGCTGAAGACCAGTTCTCCATCAGGACAATAACAATATGTTATAGTGGTAAACCTCTCAGGTCGTGCGGAGCATGTTAGAAGTCATCGTGCGGTCCCCGCTAGGCGATGTCTCTCAATAGCAGCCACCCATGGACGCAGATGTTTCCTCACGTTGTTTGGGTCGCGCGGGATAGACTTCGCGCGCGCCTTGGGTTAAATAAATCTGCTCGTGACGATTACTGGACACACACATAGATATATACAGCCAAATACACAACTACATTGTAGTCATCCATGTTCAACGAATTACCTTGCCAATATTCTAGTGATTAAATCGCACACCCACACACGCGAACTTAATAATACCGACAATTATGTCGCGTCCGCTCGATCGAGACGTGTAGTGATCGATGGGTGAGTAACATTGTTTGCTGCGAATCATATGCCAATGACGTGGGTTACCATTTACGAAGCATGCATCGCATAGGGCACATCGACACTTGCCGTTTTTTTGCTGACAATTTTTCACCCTCGGCCAGTGCGCGGAGAGGATCGTTCATTTCCGTATTATCAGGTTGAATTTAGAAAACGATAGGTTTACGAAAGTAATGAACATCTTATTCAATTTACGATAGCGGGTTTATGGGTATGGAACAACGAATTGAAGATGCACGTACGCACAATCTCCTTACTCAAGCTGCCTGTTCATGCACGATACAGTGACCACATGTACATGTATGTGTACAGCTAGGTAGATGGGTTGTCTGTGGGACGGCACGCTTTGTCATGCACCAAACTGGATCGACCAACATTGGCAGCGTCATTAAAGAGAATCTCAGTAATAGGTTTCGTTGTCGCCGATTACTATTAGATTCATTGTAAAAGTGGTCATCGTGACCATCAAAATGATCAAAGGAGAACGTAAAGTAATAGATGCATTGTATGCATACAATCTAAGGCATCGTCAGTTCATTTATGTGGTTCGGAGTCACCATTGTTGACCTGTACGCGGATGGTGTTTACTGTTAATTCCGATACGATCCGTGGCCGTGCAACTGGGATTTAAAGAGGTCAGAGACCGGAACACGTTAAGAGCGACAAAATCTGAATCGTCCGCAACTGAATCGAAATTGGAACAAATCGCAGCTACATACGTAAACACCTCCACCTGTCCCAGAAGCTATACATCAAAAAA